GATGTCTGACACACAAGGACACAAATACATTACCTCCGTGACTGTCTCTGAACACGCAACTATTTCCTCCTGCTGTAAAGAGCTGTGATATCCCTTTGGACAAGCATACCGACTGCATCGTCCAGTTTTTTGCCCAACCCAACGAGCGTACATACCTGTACATGGACAAATGTCATTATATACAATGTGTAGATGTTGTAAATTGCAGGATCCTCCAAGACTTTGCAAAGAGGATGTCTCTGACGCCGTAAGACTGAAGGCATATGGGTCGTATATACTACAACACTCCAATAAACGTAAATACTAAATTACATTTGTTCAAAGAATGGGTTGCTCCGACTGGGATTGGAAACCGGGCCTTCTAGTTTACGCCCAGCTACTCTAACCACTAAGCTACCCAGTCAACCAATCCTCTGAACAGTTTTCATGAGCGCGATTATCGCTCCTTGTGTACGGCTGCGGAATATATTCTCCGAGAGTTATTGCGTCCAACAAGGTGCCGGGATGGTGACAATTAAATATAAAATACTACACTGATAATTATTTGCACCAAATGGTCGGTGATCAATGTACGAGTAAATGCAAACATCTCATGGTCTCGAATGATCGTTCTTGGCATTGTTCTTCTCACAATACATCCAACCTTTACTGTTAGGGGGTTTGAGGTCAACAGAGTAAAAAAAAAAAAAGAGAGAGAGAGAGGCGTATGAACGAACCGAGAATGCAACAGTGGTTGTCGGAGGGAAGACACAAGTAAGAAGAAATAGAGCCGCGATTAAACTGGCAAAGGGAAAGCAGGGTGGCCAAAGGAAACGAAAGGTGAATGAACCGTTGGGAGGCAAAAAGAACGAAGTGAGGGAGCGCATCACCAACAAAGACGAAAAAAGAGAAGAGACTGAAGTCAAAAGTAACAGCAAGAAAAATCAACCTGAAAAAGTCACGGAAACGTGGCTGTGTGTGTGTGTGTGAGGGCGCAGTGGAAGAAACAGCGGTCGCACGACAGCTCCATCTTGTGGCGATCGATCGACGGCGGCCCCGGAGGCGGCGCGTGGGCGAGGTGGGGTGGGGTGGGAGGGGGGCGCGCTGGGGACACCCTCGCTTGCGGATCGACAGGCGCGACGCCATTGGCTACGGAATGGCCGTCGGCGGCCATTGCACGCATGCGCCCTCCCTCCCAGGCGCCACCCCCACCCCAAGCGAATAACCCTCGCGAGACGTTTTACTAACTTCCACTCTTTCTTTTTAACTTAAGCCTTCGCTTTATTGTTATTCTTCTTCTGGCGGGTCGGGGAATATAAATCCAGGCCAGTTTTATTACAGGTCTTAATAACCTGTGCAATCGTATGCCAAATTATTCTGGGCTCAAGTCGCAGTATTAGTTCAGATAGGCAACAAATTCTGAAAAATTATCTTTTAAATAATGCGCGTAATGTGTAGCAACTAAATACTTGTTTATTCTCCCTTCCTCGCAGGCGCCACCCCCACCCCAGCCGAGGCCGCCTCCCCAAGTGAATAACCCTCGCGAGACGTTTTAACGACTTTCACTCTTTCTTTTTAACTTTAGCCTTTGCCTTATTGTTAATCTTCTTCTGGCGGGTCGGGGAATATACATTCAGGCCAGTTTTATTACAGGTCTTAATAACCTGTGAAATCGTATGCCAAATTACTCCGGGCTCCAGTCCCAATATAATTTCAAATGGGCAAGAAATTCTGACAAATTCTCTGTGAAATAATTAAATTAATGTGCAGTCACTAAATACACCTTTATTCTCTCTTCAACTCTTTGGAAACGTTGAGCATGAAATCCGTGGACAACATCTTGTATTATAGATTCAGTTAATGTTTCAATCAAGTCATATTCTCATAACTTTTCGTAGAGTTGAAGTTATTAACAAAACAGTTGTCAACTAATAAGCGATACGATGTTATGAAAAAACTTTGTTAACATTTTTTTGATATATAGTAATTGCGTGAAATGCCCACCAATTACTATTTCAATATCTAAAACCTTGAACTTAATTAGGCCAATGGAAATCATTCAGTAGTTACCGTTCAAAACCATAATTAATAGCGACATAAAAAAATCTAAATACACTCAATTTCGTTAATGGCGACGTCATTGATATCAAAAATCTGTACGTGCAGCAAATACATTACAACTTAACGTATTATTTCTCCAAACATTAGCACGAATACCTTTGAATGGTCAAGAATACAAAATAGGTTAGTTGTAGTCCAAAATATTGTATACTGTGATGTAACGATATATATCAATTAATACGCCCGTGTTTACTCATCAATACATCACCTGAATAATACCATTTATTAATTTTCAGGGCATAGGTTTGGGCTTGGAAATGCTCCATACAGAAAACATTGGACAAATTGTAAAAAATGGCTTAAAACATAAAATTTAAAAAAAATATACCTAAAAATAAATATCAGTATCTTCTGCGTTGAATAAACAAAATTGTATTACTTTATTGGTTTACGTAAACTAGAAAAAGTAAACAAAAAAAACAGAACAAGAAACTGTACTACTTTTTTAATAATAACTACCGCCCGTTTAAGGCATATTTTACTTTTCTTTGCACTAATAGCACTGCTCTCTTTTCAGTTTATATTAATGTATAATTAACTTATTTCGAATGTTATCAGATGATAGCATCCTCCTCCCAAACTTCAGCGCGGAATTCAATTTACTAAAGTTCCCAGGTCACTGCTTGTCACAAACATTTCTTGGAACTATTACATAACTTCTATTATTCTTGTTCCGTTAGTTCCTTAGTTATTAAAAAACATCAAAACGTCCTCATCAAACCTTTGTTTTTTTTCGTCTGTCTTTTTCAAAGCCTCCTGTCTTATTTTTCTATCTTCTCGCCGACCAATGTCCAAGGGGTTTACACACATGTATTACAATACATTATTAAGTCCAACGCAAACCTCAGTGCATCTTGGAGACATTGTTGCCGGGCGTGGCCGGGAGAGGCTGGGCGAGGTCGAGCGAGGCCGGATGGAGTGGGCGGAACAGAGCGCGCCAGGAGGAGCGAGTGTGGCGTAAGAAGGCGGTGCAGAATGAGCGGAAGAGGTGAAAGAAGCGGGATTTGCTGGAGGGGCGAAAAAGTAGGCAGCGCGGAGGGAATGGCGCGGAGGCAGCGCGGAGGGAAGAGAGGAAGAAGCCGTTGGAGCTTGATGAGTGGGAGCAAGAAGTAAGAGCTGGGAGAATGGGCGGGATAGTGGCAAAGCGTGCGGGCGGGCGAAGCTGCTTAAGGGGAGGCCGCATGCAATACCTTTCCCTAAGCCGCCAATGCTAATTTTGCTCACTTTAGGAACGTTTTTTGAAAAATCTATAAAAGATGCATTAGTCACATTTTTACTGCAATAAATACTTTATTTATCTACAATTACTAGCAAATTTGACTATTTACAAGGAATGTAATCAGAGATTTTTTTTCGATTTCGTGCATTAAACATTTTTTAAAGTAATTTATATTTCATAAAAAATGCCGAACTATTTTTTTTTTCAAACAGAATATGAGTACTTGATGTACTGTAAATGCTCTGGCCATGTTTCAATTTTCTTTGACTTCTAGTTTCTACAATACATGTTCCTGAATGTTTAGAGAAAAACGGGTTTAAAGTTTATAATTATATTTTACTGAAGAAAATCTTTAAAAACACTTCCAGCTAACCTTTTCCTCCACCATATAGAGCATCGTCTGAATCGTACTGGTCTTCTTTTTTTCTTTTAATTGTTCTTTTATTTGTGAAACTTAGTGCAGCAATTTTTGCTTTTCGAACTGTCTCTATTTCTAGCGAGGATTGTATTGTACTTTCCGCACACTCTATACGCAGAACTATTAAAACCTGTTCCTTTAACTCCTTTAAAACACCAGACCACAGCGTATACACCAAATCTCAAAATTCAGTTGTACAAATTCAGTTTTGGGTAATCGTGTCCAAATTACTGAATTCGTAAATTCATTCAAATTCTGGGTCTTGCAAATACAAACTTCTTAAATATTCAAATGAATTCGGATTCAAATGAAAGAAAAAGCATTTAACACACAAATGAGCGGCCTTTTTAAATAAAATAAAATCAAAAATAAAATTTTTGAAGTAATTTACCTGCTATCATCCCTTAACTGACGACTGAGATGAATAGTCCGCCAATGGTAGAGGGCTATTTTGAGTGTACTATTGAAGAGTAAAACACGGTTCAATATGCAAATTTTCATTGAAAAATTGGAAACATTATTTAAGAAATACTGTGAGTGTTTCCGAGCTTCTGAAAATGCGCAATTTTTTGCTCATTTTCACAGAAAAGGTTTGATTTTTCAAGACACTTTATAATAAATAATTTGAATCAATTGTATTTACATGTCGAATATCTATAAAGAAATATTGTAATGTAAATGTTAATGAAGTGGGGTGTATGTTTAAAAAAAATTTGTCTATTTTTCGAAAAATTGAAAGAATACATTAAAATGACCTTTACACGAGTACTTCATTAATCAGTATATACGTATAAACGAAAAGTGTTAGAACAGTTTTTGACAAAATCTAATTAAAAAAATTAATTTTAGAAAACTTGCAAATGACCTTACTTAATTATCTTAAGTTAGAGAAATAATTTCATTTTAAAAATTTTTATTCAATATCGCAGTTGTAAGAAGAGGCCGAATTGTTTTTAAAATTTTGCAAATTTAGAGAATTTAACGAAAAGAACGGGTCTGCCTAATATATCACGGTTTTTTATTCTATCCAAGGAAAAAGTTAAACAAAAAATTTGATGCGGTTTTTGAGAAAATGTTGGGGCTTTATGTAAAGTAACCTCCAAAATAAAAATTCTAGGGACCGCAAACATCAGACAGATTGTTGAGTGAAGATCAGTAAAAATCTTACCAATGGTTTTAGTTGCAAACGTTATTCACAAACGGACGAATATAATTTTTTATAAAAATCAAAATTTTCCAAAAACCAACGGGGCACAGCCCCAGCTGAGACAAGTTCTAAGACCCGTTTGGTCTCCCGGCATGTGTGGAAGTGTATTTAATGTAAGTATAAGGTGTGTAAGTAAGGGGTGAGGATAGGACGAGGAAGGAGAAGGAAAGATCGCGCGCGGTCCTTGCCCCGTTTGTTAAGGTACTCCTCC